CAGCCAGAATGCTCCTTGGAAGTGAGAATGGCCAGACTTCATCTCATCTCTTTGGTCATGTTGTCAGAAGGAGCCATAGCCTGGAGAAGGATGTCATGCTTGGTGAAGTGGAGGGTCAACAAAGAAGGGGAAGACCCTCAATGAGATGGGTAGACACTGGTGCCAACAATTGGCTCAGGTATAGCAAGGATCATAAGGCTGGCACAAGACCAGGCAGTGTCTAGTTCTGCTGTGCGTAGGGTCACTATGAGTTGGACACGACTTGATGACACCTAACAACAGCTGGCAATCTAGACTTCATAATTAAATAGTTCTTATTTATTTTTTAAATTTGCTCCTAATCCTTTCCCATTCTGTTCCCACACATAAGTCATTTTTACACAACTGTCTTGTGATGTAGCTCGGTGCCTGTGTCCTGCTCTCACTGCACAGTGTCCGATTTTCCTAACAGGACACAGTTAACCCAGCATAGTCTCTCCTTAAGCAAAAAGTCCATTTCTGTGAACCATGACCCAGACAAATGCAACGCCAGACCGTGTCTCATGTCCAAGTTTATTCAAGTATCAGTTTATGCTGAGCACAGACACACAATAGTGGTGAGCCTTCCCCCTTGTGACTCTTCCACTATGACTATTGGGCACAGCACTGTCCCCATGTCATGGTGAAAGCAAACAGGCGGGAAGTTCAAATTAATTAAACAAGAGGGCAACGGATTAGTCTTGGTTAGAGCACAGAAGCCATTTCCTTTCCCTTAGTAACCCCGTGTAGCTCATTCCCTCCTGGGCCTCATCGCTTTTCACCTCCATTAGCAACTCAGATATTAGCCAAAGCCGTAAGCTCTCTGCCCAATCTCTTCCTGCTACAGTGTGGCTGACAGATAAAGTGGTCTCAGCAAACCCAGTCGACCTACTGTCTTGTTTAATGATATCTGGGCTCCCTCCAGGAAAAACCTAGCTCCCCTCCAGTCATTCAGTGTGGTAGTTAAGATTGGGTATCAAGCTAGGCTGGACCATGGTTTTGGGTAGCTTGGCAGCTGCATGTAGTTCTTTCCCATGAACAGGTTGTGACCACCTCCATGGTGGGCTCTACTATGAGCAGCTAAGCAGTTGCCTTTGAGATGTGGTTTCCTTCTAGTATATATGGGGAAGCTTTGAGGAGGGTCTCTAGCTTTTGGCACAGTTGGATTCTGCACTTGGCCATGTCTTGATCTCCAGCTTCTGGACTTCAACCCGTGGCCTGCCATATTGCCTGCCGATCTTGGGATTGTGCGGTTTTACCTGCTGACCTTGGGTTTGTCAGCCTCAGCAGCCAGCAGTTGCCTTGGTTGGGAGACACCTCCAATTCCAGAGGTCCTGGAACAAGAGGCAGAGAAGCAGCCCAGGTCAAGGATCCTCACCCAGCCCCTAGAGCCAGCACTCTGAATTTGAACTTGGAGCCTCCTAACCTGTAAGAGAATAAATTCCTGTTTGTTAAAGCCATTGACTTGTGGTATTTCTGTTAAAACAGCACTAGAAAAAACAAGACATTCAGCACTTCTCCCAGTTGAAGTCCACGAACATGCTAGATGTTGCCCCAGGAGCTAAGACACATCCAAGTCTCAGACAGGTGAAGCAGGAGACCAGCAAGTCACAGGTGCCCATGGCCTCTCTGTGGCTCTGACTCTGCTCAGCAGAAATGTTAACGACGTTGCATCTTCAGTCCTACATGGGCCAGAGATTAAGCAGGAGTTTCAGAAGCTTAGAGGCTTTCCTCTCCCTTCCCCAAGATTTCTATAGTGATAACCTGCAACCAAGGGGCTCACTTGGCCATATTGTTTCTCTAAATAAGATACTCTGAATGTGGAAGTCCCAGGAAACCTTGGGCCAAGTCCAGTGATGTTCCTCTGTTCAACAACAAAACCACGTATCCAGAGATGGTGGTTCTTGGTGACGATGTCACTTCTTGGCTGGGTTATTTAAGGAGACATTGCGGTCAGGTAACAGGGGCTCCATGTCTCACTGGAGTTGACCATGAGTTTCCGGAGCATTCCTGGTGGTGCTCAGATCTTCTGTGAGCTCCACACTCGTGGTCCGGTTATTATCTGTCTCACCTGGCAACTTCTTCCAGAGGCAGAAGTTGATCATGGAAGAGAAGAAGTTGGGAAAAGCTGGGCTGAAGAAGAAGTATATCAGGAGGTTGAACATACTTGAGCAGTAGATGTTACAATCTTGTGTCTCCACTGTGTGCAAGAGCCATAAAACTCCTCTTGTGGCTACACTTGGCAGGAAGTAGATGATGAAGACATGGCCACCACCATGATGGGCGAATGGTTCTCTTGATCTTCCCATGCCTGGCTCTGGATGATTCTGGTTGAGCGGAAAGGAGGGTGCAAGGGACAAGAAGTCCAGGAGGAACATGGCATCGTGCTACCCAAAGGCTTTGCAGAAGCTAAAGCTATGGCACAAATTCCCTCCATGGTTTTCCATCAGTATCTGTTTATACAGGAGGTGACAGGGCAGGCCATTGGTGACACCATACAAGAGACAGGAGATGATGGGGGTTGTCCCAGTGGAGATCTTGTTCAGAGCTTGGTGGAGATGGTCTGTCTGGAAGTAGCTGTCCACGGCCACCACCATGAGGAAGATGATGCTGTCCTGGTGGTTCGCGGGCAGAATGAAAGCATCACCCAGCAGGCGATGTCCCGAAACCTCCAGTCCCACTTCCTCATTATCTTATCAGTTCAAAAAAGCAGACAGATGATCAGGAGAAAGTCAGCCACGGCCAGGATGAACAGGAAAATCCGGCTGGATTCCCAGGACTTGAGGTGGAAGCAGAAAACCCACAGAGCCCGGCCAAACTCCGGCACCAACACTGGTGGCAACACGTTGGCAATGAAGTGATCCCGGAATACACGGCAGTTACGTCAACTTACAGAAAGTGGTCATCTTTCTGCAGAATATGCCAGTTCCTGAATGGATTGTCTTAGTCTCACAGAGCACCTCCCCTAATGAATGCTCAAGGAGAGAGTTGTGTGTCTGTGGTGTCTGTGTGGTGAACGTGGGGTTCAGCACACCTTCTATCATGTCAGAGTGTTGAAATAGATGACGGGTTACCAGGAAGCCACAAGATAGACAGTGGAGGTGGCGTATGAGTTGCACTGTCCCGGAATCAAAGCCGGGTCTGTCACAGCTATCCAAAATTCCCTTTTCATTCATTCATTTCCCCTCTGCTCCTTCCCTCTGAAGTATGAGTTCTGTGAAAAAGAGTCTTGGCCAACTGGTTCCTGGCTCAGTCTCCACCAACCAGAACTGTACCTGAAACATACTTGGTGTTTACTATGTAAAATTGATTCAATGCCTGAAAACGAAAATGTCAGTTGTTGAGTTCTGAACACATGAAAACCACCTTATTTACTGAAGGGCTTGGCGTCTCACCACCCGACTCCCTACTGACTCAGACTGGAGGCTTTAGGGAGTTCCTGTCTTCCTCTGAGCCTAATGCTGCCACCTCTTCCTCTCTAGGAAGGCGATCCCTGCTTTTTAACTTTCTATTTCTCCCTTCACTGGTTGGACACAGAGCAAACTGCTCTGCATTTAAGACATTCAAGAGCCTCTATTTTCATTAACTGCCATGCATGGCTGGGATTTTCAATATCTAAGTTTCTTATCTGCAGTCAAGTCCCAGACAAGCCTCCTCTTGTTGAAAAATCGAGGAGGGGCAGGCTGAAAATGAACACCTCACAGAAACTCGGATTGATCTGAGATGCAAACCAGCACATCTCCTTTGCATCCTAGAACTGGGTACTGAAACTGTGCCCTAGGAAGCCTGTCTTCCTCCTGCAGAAAAAAAAAAACAAAAAAACCAGTCTGTCCTTGTTCCTTTTTTAATACACAAACATTAATAGCAACATTCACCAAATTCTAAAGAGAATTTGAATGCATTTGCAATCTACTCTCCAAATTAAATCATTCCTATTTGTTCTCAGTCCTTTCCCATCCTTTTCCCACATGGAGGTTACTTTTACAGAACTGTCTCATGATGTACCTCAGCGTCCATATCCTGCTCTCACTTTATAATATCCGATTTTCCTAACAGGACAGAGTTAACAACCCATCATGGTCTCTGCTTAAGCAAGAAGTCCGTGTCTATGAACCATGACCCAGACAAATGCAACGCCAGACCGTGTCTCATGTCAAGGTTTATTAAAGTGGTCAATTTATGCTGAGTACAGAAACACACGAGTGGGGAGCCACGGAACAAGGGGACTCTTCCCCCGTGGCCATTGGGCACAGCACACTCCCCTTAAAATGATGAGAGCAAACAGGTGGGAAGCTGCATTCTTTCTGAAGCCTTTGTGACTGCTCAGCCTTCAAATTAATTAAACAAGAGAGCAATGGATCAGTCACTGGTCAGAGCACAGAAGCCATTTCCTTTCCCTTAGTAACACCGAGTAGCTCACTCCCTCTTGGGGCTCATTGCCTTCTCGCCTCCACTGGCAACTCACATATTAACCAAAGCTTGTGAGTTTTTTTGCCTGGTCTGTTTCTACTGCAGCATGGCTGACAGAGGAAATGGTCCCAGCAAACCCAGTTGACCTACTGACTTGGTTAAAGATGTCTGAGCTCCCTCCAGGAGAAACCTCGCTCCCCTCCAATCACCCAGCTCTTCTCCCAGTTGGAGTCCACGAACACGTTACACATTGCCCCAGGAGCACAGAACCGTCCAAGTCTCAGGCAGGTGAGGCAGGAGACCAGCTAGTCACAGGCGCCCATGGCTTCTCTGTGGCTCTGACTCTGCTCAGCTGAAATGTTGCCGACGTTACATCTTTAGCCCTGCGTGGGGCAGAGATTAAGCAGGAATTTCAGAAGCTTCGATGTTTTCCTCTTCCTTCCCCAGGGTTTCTGTAGGGACAACCTCCAACCAGGTAGTCCACTCAGCCACTCTGCTTCTCTAAGTCTGATTCTCTGAATGAGGAAGTCCCAGGAAACCTCAGGCCAAGTCCAGTGATGTTACTCTGGGCACTAGCAAAACCATGTGTCTGGAAATCTTGGTTCTTGGTGACAACGTTGCTTCTTGGTGGGGTCATTTAAGGAGAGGTTGAGCTCAGTTAGCGGGGGGCTCTATGTCTCACCGGAGTTGGCCATTAAAGCTTCTGGAGTGTTCCTGGTGGTGGTCTGATCCTCTGTGAGCTCCAAGCTCGTGCTCCGGTTGTTATCTGGCTCCCCAGGCGTCTTCCGCAGGCAGCGGTTGATCATGGTGGAGAAGAAGTTCGGGAAAGACGGGCTGGAAAAGTAGTAGACCAGGGGGTCCAGCATGCTGTTCATGTAAGTGAAGCTGAGAGTCACGAAAAATGCCAGGTCAACGGAGTGATAGTGGCTGCAATCCTGTATCCCCACTTTGTGCAGGAGCCAGAAAATGCGTATCCTCGCGGCCACGCTGGGCAGGAAGCAGATGACGAAGACGACGGCCACCACCATGATGAAGCGAATGGCTCTCTTGATCTTCGTGTGCCGGTCCATTTGCCTCTGGCGTAGGCTCCAGATGATCCTGGCCGAGCAGAAGAAGATGATGCCCAGGGGCAAGAAGAACTCCAGCAGGAACATGGCATCGTGCCACCCGAAGGCTTTGCAGATGCTGAAGCTGCTGCACAAATGGGCACCATTGTTCGGGGTCAGCAGGTTTTTGCGGAGGAGATGACCGGTCAGGCCGATGGTGACACCCCACAGAAGGCAGGAGATGATAGCAGCCGTCTGATTGGAGATCTTGTTTAGGGCATGGTGGGGATGGACCACCCGGAAATACCTGTCCACGGCCACCACCGTGAGGAAGATGATGCTGCCCTGGCGGTTCATGGCCAACATGAACAGCATCACCCGGCAGGCGATGTCCCCAAACCTCCAGTCCCACTTCCTCACGTAGTTATCTGTCAGGAACGGCAGGCAGATGATGAGGAGAAAGTCAGCCAGGGCCAGGTTGAACAGGAAAATCCGGCTGGATTTCCAGGACTTGAGGTGGAAGCAGAAAATCCACAGAGCCAGGCCATTGCCCAGGAGCCCAAACACAAACTCCAGTGCCAACACCGGTGGCAACACACTGACGATGAAGTCATCCCGGAATACACAGCAGTTCTTGTGGTCCACTTGCAGAAAGGTGCCGTGTTTCTGCAAGACGTTCCCGTTCATGAGTGGATCAGGTTAGGGTGACGGAGCGCCTCACCTCGCGAACGCTCAAGAAATGAGGTGTGTGCCTGAGTGGCGAGTGTGTGCCTCAGCACCTGCCTTTATTTCATGTCAGGGTGTTGAAACAGATGACTGAATGGTTACCAGGAAACTGCGAAATAGCTTAAAAAAAAAAAAAAAAAAAAAAAAAACCAGTTACACTCTTACGTAACCTACTGTTTTCATAAACAAGTAAGAAGAATCCCCAGGCTGATAGAAACCCACAAAATTTCCTAAAAGTAAAGGATAAGTTTAGGCAGGCCAGTTGTTGTTTGTGAATCACCAAAATGTGGAGGTGGTCTGAAATAATCCAGTCCTGGGCATTCAAGAACAGAATCACTGCCCTCTGCTTGGCTGATGCAATTAACAAACCCACCACCACAGTAATAAGAAACAGCATGATGTCCGGAGTCATTTAGGAAACCTTAGCTGGCATCTGATTTTTTTTTTTTTTTTACAAAAGCTGAGAGAACAGCAGCTGTCTGTTTCTTGACAACAGACATGCTGGCTCTGAGCACTGTCCCCATGCCGTCTTCCCTGTCTAAGCAGGGATTCCTTTTCCACACTAGAACTCTGCAATTCATCTCTGGTTAGGAAAAACAGAAAACCTACTTCAGAATGCAAAATTTTCTAAGAGGTTCGCACACTTCAGCTCAGGGTGGATGGCGAGTGGTGGTGAGAAGTGTGATGTTAACATAAGTTAGGTTTCTTGTTTGTGTTAGCTTTTGACCTGCTTCCATGCTAAGGAAGTAATTTATTTTACAGTAAGTGATGTTTTAAAAGCCCCCATTTTAGGGAAATTAAACATTGAGTGACAGGGCCTAAGAGGATGTTGTACTCGGTCTTACAGCAGGACACCACTTCACAGATCTTGCGTTGCTTTTCCGTGTGACTGGGTTTGACCCCATAGAACACTTGTACCCAGTTTGGTTCCATGAATTCTTGCTGTGCTAGAGGCTTCTTAATCTGACTGCTTCTGCTTTGAGTTAGAAAGAAGAAATGTATTCCTTTTGCTTTCCATGATACGGGTTTTTAAACTTTTCACAATGACCCAGAGTCATAAAAAAAACCAAACCAAACCCCCTGCCATCAAGTTGATTCCGACTCATAGCAACCTGCATTGGGTTTCTGAGGCAGTAAATCTTTATGGAAGAAGGTTGCTTAGTCTTCCTTCCACAGAACAGCTGGTGGATTTGAACTGCCAACCTTCTGGTTAGCAGGCAAATGCCTTAGGCACTGCACCACCAGGGCTCCTTGACCTAGAGTCGAGGGAACACAATATTAGACTCCCATGGGAACCAAAGTTTGTCAGTGCAGTGTAGTAAATTACTTAGTGTGGCTTTTCTATCCATAACTCTTTGTAAACTCCAAGGTGGGAATTGCTATGAGCAACTGAGGAGCTCCTGATTGCTAAAGTTGTCCACCTGGAGTATTTCTGTTAGGAGTCGCGCAAAACAGTGTTCTGGGAGGTTCCCACTCTCTCTCAGGTGCTTAGAGTTCTGCTGCTATGATTGGCTAGTTTGGCCACTCTGTTGGGCTCAAAAGGAGGCCTTCTAGAGGCAGAACTCTCTCTGACTGCTGGCTGAGGAAAGACATGCTCCTGCAAGACATGTGCTGCTGGGAAAGAGACTCAAGAGACACGCATTGCTGAGAGAGATACCAAGGGACACGCATTGCTGGGAGAGAGACTGTGAGAGACTGTTGAGAGATGGTGGGCTGGGAAAGAGACTGAGCATTTTTTCCTGAACTCA